CTTAACGACTGAGCCACCCAGGCGCCCCAGTAGTTTTTTTTTTTTTTAATTTAACAATTTAAATATTTTCTATGTTTTTGAAGTCTTAGTTTTCCTCATGGCCGCACATCTGTCACGTGATGAAACGTGGGTATCAGCTTGTGCAGATGCACAGCCTGTGCCTTCAGGCGGCTCTCACTCCAGCTGTGTGTGGAGATGGTGCTTAAAGAGGGTTGTATTGGGATTTTCAGTGTAATTGCTATGATGGGAGTCAGTGCAGCGTGAGGCTGGCCTGGAAGGGCACCTAGTGTGGATGTGGATGGGAGGGGGAGGTGCGGGATACAGACGTGTGCCCACCAGGCTGTCTGTCATTGCCTGAATTCTGGAGAAGTGCATTTATGTTTTAGGTAGTTCTGGTAAAGGATGGGTGAATGAGGCAGAGATGCTTTTTTTTTTTTTTTTAAAGATTTTATTTATTTGACAGAGCACAAGCAGAGGGAGAGAGAGGGAGAAGCAAGTTCCCTGCTGAGCAAGGAGCCCAATGTGGGACTCGATCCCAGGACCCTGGGATCATGACCTGGGCTGAAGGCAGCCACTTAACCGACTGAGCCACCCAGGCGTCCCGGGGCAGAGATGCTTTATTTGAAGGTTTGGGTGTAAGGGGATTCTTAATTTTTTGGCATGAGTTGCATTGAGAAGTCTTAGGTCATAGAGAAACAATTGGAAGGTCTGACAAAATATAACTGGAGTCTGTCAGTCTACTGCGACCTGCAGGGCAAAATGCCAGACCTATCTGAATGTGGGCGAGGAATGATGAGGCACATTCGACCTAACTTGCTTTTGTGGTTATGGTCCTATTTTAGACCTTCTTTGCCCAGTCAGGAATTTGTATCAGGCACGGGCTCTCGGGGTCTCCTGTAGGCTTTGCCCAGAAGCCACTCCTCCAAGAGCCGCAGCTGTGTTCATACACATAGGGGCAGCTGGGCCAGCAGGGTGCCTAGGCTGTAGGGCTGGAGCCTGCTGTGACCGCCCTAGGGACCTGCGGGCAGGTGAGGCCTGTGTGGCCCCTGCCTGGGCTGGTGGCAAGGAGGCAGCGGTGGGCCTGTGTACTCAAGCCACCTGTGAGAGTTCCTGATGGCTCCCTTGTCCCTGGGCTCAGGTCCTCGGGGCTCTTCCTGAAGGCTTGAGAAGGGCGTAGGGACCCTTTTTTGTCCACTTCTGCAGTTGCTTTGTCCTAGGTCCTTTTATTTATTTTTTAAAACATTTTTGATCATCTTGTTGCCTGTCTCTACATTGTTCCCAGGTTTTCTGCTTCTTCTTCCTAAGTGGGAGACACACGCCTTTAATGGCAAAACCCAGTGCTGGGTGGGAAAGGCTGCCGAGTGTTGTCCTGCCAGCTACAGGAGCAGGTCAGCATCCCTCTCAGTGCAGAGAGCCAGCCAGGAGTGGGGTAGTGCTGTGGACGTGGACATCTCCAGGCTCCACCCTTAGGAGAAGTTCTCGTTTTCTCTTTCTCCTGAGGAATAGAGGGATTTTCCCAAAAGCTTCTGCCCCTTCCCCCAGCCGGGCCCTGGAGCAGCATGGCAGCCATATCTCAGAGCTGTCTGGAGAGGTGCGCCCTCAGTGGGGTGGACAACTGCCTGACAGGGCAACCCAAATCCTAGGGAAGTGAGTAAATGAAACTGCTGGGAAGTGGCACTCTGCAGGGCCCAGCACACCCCTTCTGGAGCCTTCTGAAGCCCCCGTGTTTCCTCTGGAAAACCTAGGGTCCTTCTGGACTCACACGTCCTGTTTCCTTTTCTCTTTTCCTTTTCAAAGCAGTGATTTGGTCTAATTACTGCTGATGCTGCCTGGTCAGGAGGAAGTGGTGTGGGGTGTTGGGCTCTCCCAAGCAGGGAGCGGGTTTCACCATGAGCTCGTCAGACCTGAACAGCAGAGGCTGGGCGTCCGCTCTGCATGATGAAACTTGCAGGTGTATTGTGCTTTCAGATTTCGTCTGTCTCCTTTGATGCACTTGGCTTAATTTCTATCCACCTGTTCATTAGTGTGAGTTAGGCAAAACAGGTGAACTTGTAACAAGCACCATCGAAACTAGGGTTTGATTTTATTTTCCTGGAAGCATGTTCCTCTTCTAGCAATGAATTTTAACTCTTGTGTGGGAGAAACAGGAGTCTGGTAGCTTCCTATCCCTGGAAGGCCCTCTGGCTTAGTCCTGCTTTAAGCATTAGGATTATTGCAGATTGAGGAAATTCAAAGAAGGAAAACCCATATTAAAAATTGAAAA